CGAAGCTTAATGATAATTTCAGGTGCCTTTGAGGCTCAAATAACTCATCTTCACCTAGTTTATTATTCTAAGCAACTGATACAAAACATATAGAGACCAGTCGGTTCAACATTGCAAATTTAATATTGTCAATATCCAATAATTATGGTTGCAGAAAACCACGTATCTTCTGATATTGGGAGAAAACCTGAGTAACTAGTGCATCCTATACAAGTAAAATTCAGGAGCCAAATGAGGAATGCTCTTTGCTTCAACAAAAGTTTGTGACACGCCACATTATATATACTGTTTACGACTCTTTGAATTATTGCAGCACCAAGCTTAATGAGTAGTTAAACGTGATTTCCTCCGGTGTATCAAAAAATTTGTCTAGATGAGTAGTTAAACAAGACATTTATACAATTAGTAGAAAAGCATAACTCGGATCCTTTTTTATAAAGACGCGAGTAAATAAAAATTGCATAATGTAGCACAATTCTAAATAAAAATTACAACAATTATACAATTACCAAAATATTGACAAAAATTGAAAAATAATGAAAACTGGTACGTGCCTTAAATTGCAAATAAAGTTGCAAATTGTTACCTCAACTGGTTGGAATGATGGAGGAAGATGATAAAGATGGAAAAATTGAAAAATAAGCGACCCAAATTAGTCCCCAAATTGAAGAAATGGATTTGGGCCCTAATTTTTCGTTGAAGATCAAAACACCACAAATTTCTGTTTTTGATTGTAGAAAACTCAGGGTTTAAGCGCAAAAGAGGTTGAGAGATGGTTTTATGATGAAAAAACAGATGATAATTGGTCGAAATGGAAGATTGGTGAGGGTGGGGAAGGGTTTCGTTAGGAGGAATGCGAGAAAACTGGAAAAAATGACGAACCGAGGCCGCGGGTGACTGTATAATGCTAAAGATCCGAGCTCGGATCTAACTGTGTTTGTTAGATCCGAGGGCGGATTCACAATTTTCAGTATCATGATTTCGAGGATCCGAGCACGGATCCGTGTTGATCATCCCTCGGATCCGAGATGTCTCGGATCACCGCTCCCGGTAGTTCAGACGAGCCCTCGTATCCATCACAGTTTTTTGGATCCGAGGGCGGATTCACAATTTTCGGATTTTGAGTTCGAAGATCCGAGGTCGGATGTGTTTTATCACCCCTCGGATCCGAAAGGGCTCGGATCATCGCTCACGGTAGTTCAGACGAGCCCTCGGATCTATCTGAGTTTTGTTGGATCCGAGGTCGGATTTGTAAAGTGAAAGCCATGGGTTCGAATGATCCGAGCGCGGATCCTTTCTGGGTTTTTTGGATCCGAGCTCGGATCGTTTCGATCCTGCATCATTTACAGAAACTGCAATTTCCACCAAACTTTTTCTCCAATTTTCACCAAATTCGGAAATACACATTTGACAACCTGTTCATCAAATCTAACCCCCCACGCAAGTGTAATATACCAAAAACACAATATCCAACCAATCAAAACACATCAAACATGTCCACATTTCAAAACAAGGCGTGAGGTTCTTTGATCTTTTTTACACATTTACACCAAAATGACACCTTTAGGTCTCGTATGCACATTGAATGAGTCCATGTGCAATTATAAACATGTTTTCACCGAAACTCACTGGAACATTCATGTGGTGGCCATTTTATATGCTCCATGAATATATATATATTCATATATATATATATATATGTATATATATGTTTATATATATACATCTACTATCTTTTGAAAAAAATTGGACAGAATCTCCCCTTAAAAGTGGACTAAACTCCCTGCCAGCAAATCCAAAGTCATGAACATTTCATCTAAGCAATATTTCCGACAACTTGTCCAAATACAAAACATAAAACTACTCCAAGTCCCACACATTTTTCTCCCCTACACTTAGAATAATATTCATAACAGGAGCAACCAATTACAGTTTTGAACATCAATGATGTCCAAGTTTTCCATGCGTGCCACATCCTCTGGGTTTGTGTGCTCTTTGTGTGCGACGTGGCTGGGCTGGCATCACTATATCGACTTGCGTAATTTGTGACTCAAGTCTTTGATCAAGTGCTTGGGTACTTTGGCCTGCATCTGTACCTCCTACATGTTGTTCACCACTGCCATGGAGCTCGTCTGTATTGGGCGTAAACGCCTCCATAAGTACTGGGCCCCTAGAATGACCAAAAGGTCCGGTAGAGGTGCCCTGGTGCTCAGTAGCCTGTGACCTTCCATCAAGTCCGGTTTGGACGGTGGGTTCTGGTGATCGAAATCTACGACGGCGTCCACCGCCATGCTGACCTCCGTGAACATTCCTAGGAGCTCTTTCAACGCGATTGGGGTCGGTTGGCTGTGGAATTTGCTGTGGCACTCGTGAAGGGCGAAATGCAAGTCGGGATGACTCCCCTACAGTTTCCAATGTCATGGATGCAAAGTCCTTCATTGCATTAAAATAATTCGTGTGCTGTTCGTCACTCTGCGTTAGAGAGGTCTCTGCCATGTAATACACCTGAGTCCGGGACTGTCCGGGACTGTATTTAACTAGTTGTAAGGAAAACTGACCAGATATTGTGTTCTGGCGCTATCACCCTGAAAGCCCTCCGGTAAAATGAGCTGCCTAGTAGGATTTGAAACATATACCACTGTTCGCTCGCGATACCACTGACGATACTCATCGGATGGATATGTGGGATCTTCAGCTACAACACCATCTTCCACATGTGAATGACGATCAGTCCACACCTCAACATATGCTCGATGTGCAGTTAACCAGTCTTGGTTCCCCTTGCCACGACGATCAAGAGAATGCAGTTCCTGTTGATTTTCGGTCAATCTTATATCAGGCACGGGCTGATGATATCCGAACTGTCTCATAACTCGATTGGAAAGATGTGGCTCGACAACTTCCCAACATATGAGATACGTGACAGATGTCCAAATGCGGCGTCCTGCAGTACAATAGGGAGGCAGAGAAGCGAGAATATCGTCCGAGTATGGCTGCCATATGAACTGCAAGGCCAATAATTATTCAATGACATAACCTTCAACCAACTATGACCCTAATTTTAATGGAAAAAGTGCTGTGCCATATAACGGCAAAGGACCCAATCGTAAAAGCATCAAATGATGTTACTGTACCTCTCGGGCCCGTAAGCCCGTCAACTGATCTCGGAATATAGATACAACATGTCTTGCAACTCTATGCACATCAAATTGAACATTCCATCTGCAGGGAACGAATTAGAGCCGTTGTGTCTTAAAGGCGAAAATTTTGATTTTTATTAGTACTATATACATATATTTGATATACATACCGAGCTCCATATGGACCAGGATAGTGCTCTAACGGATGCACTCGATCAGGGCGAACTGTTGGTATACGTTCCCACGCCCATAGCTGTATTTAAATTGTATTTGAATATATTAATTGACCATGTAAACTCCTCTATAGTTAAATCTAGACACTTTGAACGAGACAAATGTACCTGAAGCAACATCAATGGTCCCGCAATGGACGATCTATAGGGAGATGTGGCGCTACACAATGATCGATACAAAGTTGCTAATATCGCACTACCCCAGCTATATTGCCCAACAGTTTTCAAATCTCGTAGTAATGGCATATACAACAACGGGACTTTATTACCAGATTTATCTGATAATAAATGACCGCCTAATAGCAGAAGCAGGTATACGCGGGCCCGCTGTCTACAGTGGACATCCGAAGCATCGGGTGGCAACCCTGCATCTAATACTCTAGATAAACACCCCAATTTCAGCCGTCGCCCATCAAAATCTGACATCAAGGGAGAAAAACCAAGCAACTCCTCACATAAATTCACTCACTCCTGAACACTATGAGTTGTATCTATCCCTATAACTGGAGGACCATCTATGGGTAGACCCCACAGAACCTCAACATCCTGTAAGGTAACTGTAGTCTCTCCAACGGGGAGATGAAAGGTATGAGTCTCGGGCCGCCATCGCTCCACTAAACTAGTGATCAAAGCATGATCGAGCATCATATATCCACAGTCAAGCACCCCTTCAAAGCCAGCCAATCGAATATAATGCCGAACAGTCTCTGGGATAGGTGTATGATCCCAAAAATGCCTATCACATCGTCTGACATCAAGCTGATCACCTAGAATGTGCCCGTCAAATATAGAACGTGCCTGGTGTGCAGTGCCAGCTGAGATGATATCATACACAAATGGGCCCGGATGCAGGACTGCCCCCGTAGAAATGTCGGCCATACCTCTGACAACAATAGCTGCAAATACATTATATAACATATAAGCCTACACACATTTGAATAGAAGAATAGGAGTTTCTTCAACTAATGCAACACTTTAAATACAGAGCTGCTAAAAATAAGGTCAAAATTATGACCCGATTGAAACATTGATCAACAACATGTATCTCATAAATCATATTAATTTCATAATCCCAAAAATTACAGATATCATAGTACACTGGTTCATATCCCTAAAACGGATGACATCAAGCTCTAAAATTTGGACAATTTCTTCTATTATGGCCCGATTGATGACAATTTGTACATCTTCTTGGCACCTCTGGGTCTCTCTCATCCATCTCATTCCGAATTCTTCTAACTCGTACCCTTCCAGCCCGACGTGCAACATATTTACTACTATCTGCCCGCAGCTCCCAATCTGGTTGGAACCAAGTATCCGGATGTGGCAAAGGGCTAAACTTTCCTGAATACTGCACCGCCCACCGCCTATTTGTAAATTGGGGATCTATAAGTGCACCAGAATTATCACCTCGGTGCCTGCACACGGCCATCACGTGCGAACAGGGAAGTCTGTAGCACTGCCACTTACCACAAGAGCATGTTTTATCAAAATACTTTACCGTTTGTGTATTACCCCCTTTACCATCCACACGTCTACCAGTCACAATTTTGTACATCCCCGATGAGCCATCGAACTCAACAACCCTGTGGGTTCCCGCTTTCAGGTCCGAATTCTTAAACCGCCGTCATATCTTTGGAGGAAATGGATAACGGCAATGTCTAGCATCCTCTCTTCTTGTTTTAAACAACTCAACAGTCCGATGAAATGTCATATCAATACAAGCCCGGATAGGCAAATGACGAGCTCCTCTAAGTACATTATTATAACTTTCGGAAATGTTGGTTGTAAGAATACCCCAACGGTTCTCACCGTCATGTGTTAGACACCACTTCTCAGCTCCAATGTTAGACAGATAACTCCATGCATCTGGAAACATGTTCCTCAATTCTCGTTTGAATGCCCGCCACTTGCGCAATTGTCTGGCTTTTCCCATTGCCCAACATAACCTTCTAAGGTGCAAGCCTTTGAAGTGACTCATTAGGTTACTCCTAACGTGTCGTAGACAAAATCTATGAAAGGTCAAAGGTTCTTGCCAATAGTCATAATGTGTCATGGCATGGATGATACCATTATGCCGATCCGAAATGACACAAATAGGATACCGATCACGGGCCACATTGTATCTTAGTTGTTCCATGAACCAAGACCAACTACAAATAGTTTCTTCGTCGACAATGGCATAGGCTAGCGGAATAATGTGGTTGTTGGCATCTTGCGTAACTGCAACAAGTAGTTTGCCTTTATATTCGCCCCGCAGATGAGTGCCATCAACACATATAACCGGTCGACACATGTGAAATGCATCAATAGCCGGTCCAAAAGCCCAGAAGACATACTTAAATGTCTTCAGACGATCCGTACTATCAGAATGGTGCAACCACCTGATCACAGATCCCTGATTTGACTGCATAAGTGCATCAACATATTTCGGCAGTTCAGCAAAATTGGCATCCCAAGAACCAAATATAAGTTCAATAGCTTTGCGTCTGCCGTACCAAGCCTTTTTATAGGACACGTCCACCTTCAAAACTTTCTTGACATGGCTTACTATATTCTTTACTTTAAACCCAGGATCATCTTCAATGCTACGAACTATGTGTCTAGCAATAACCGAAGATGTAAGACTAGCATTGCTATTACTCATCAAATCACCAACACAATTATGGTCGTTGACCCATTTGGTTATTTGCCACAGTCCATGAGTCTTTTTTTTCACTGCTCGGACACACCAGTCGCATGGAGGATACGATACGTTGGCCACAGTGGTGGTGCTCCTTTCAAATGCAGATTTACATTTGGCAACCCAAGTATTACTCTTGCTCTCAACAACCCTAAACTCCCTATTATGATTGATAGACCACATTCTAATAGCCCTGCTCAGCTGTTGTTTGCTCTCAAATCTCATATGTAGACATATGTGATTATTATCCTCACTAAATGTCACAATACGTTCCAACCCACTTTCATCAGTGAATTGGTCGTCATCATTTATATTTCCAAGGTTAGAGAAGAATTCGAATCCTCGTGGAACATACGAAAGGTTGGCAAATGCAGCAAAGGGCTGTTGGTTCCCAAGATCCTGGTGGACTACACGTCTTTCATTTTCGCCATCTGAGTCACTGTCTGACACATCTACCGACTCAGATTCTTCCACATCTTCTACATCATTTTCCAAATCATCATCTATCAATGTGTTACAATGACTTGGACCAGCAGTCGAATCGAACCCATAAGAAGGCACATGATTCGGCGATACGTGGTCTCTAAAACTTTGAATCGAGTCAAGGCCTTCAACATATTCAACATCCGTCCTTAAGCCTGACGTGAACCGTGGCTCTACCACGTCCCTAACACAATCCCCATGTAGTCGTTGTAGACACCAAATTTTGGTGTAATTTCATTTACTAATTATTTTTTAGTCTGTGCTCGTTTTTTTCACTTTTTAGTTTTTAGTTTTTTAGTTTTTTGTGTTATTATTATTTTTAAGTTTTTAGCATAGAATTTCTTGAAAATGAAAAAAAAAAGGAAAAAGAAGGAAAAAGTGAAAAATGATGAAAAATGAAAAATGAAAGGAAAAGAATGAAAATGGCAAAAATAGGTGGAAGTGTGTGCATGTTGAACAAGTGTACAAAACAATCATGGGACAAGTGGTTAAGGAATTTGAGGGACAAGTGTCCCTTTTGTTTAATTGACAACACAACATTTAGGAGGACACTTGTTTAGCTTAGAAGGGAGGTTTGAGAATTGGAGGGAAAAAAAAGAAAAAGAGGCCACGGATGGGAGAAAAACAGAGAAATAAGAGCTTGAGGGGAGAGCTACGACTAAAAAGGGAAAAGATTGAAAAAGGCTTTGGGGGTTTTGAGGCTGAAAAACAGAGGGGCGGCGGACAAGGATAGAGGAGCCGAAAAAAGACTAAGAAAAAGGGAGGCTAGGGAAAAACAGAGGGCAAGAACAGAGGAAAAATCTGAAGTTGGGGGAGTTTTTCGGGTAGAGAAAGACGAGCGAGAGAGAGTGAAAACAACAAAAAGAAACAAAAGAAAACGGAAAAGAAAAACAGAAGGCTTGGTCTGATGAAAGAGGAAAGAAATGAACAAAGATAGGAGGAGCTCTTGAGGGCTGAGGAACAAAAGAAAAGCAGAGGAAGAAGCTTCGGCAGGCAGCAACCAAAGAAAAATAGGGGAAGGGGTTTCGGTAAAAAGGAAAAGAGAGCAAGAGCGGAAAAATCTGGGAATTAAATGAGAGATGGAGCCAGAGAGTAAGCCAAACGAAGGAAGACTAGAAAATTTTCAATCAAGACTCCCTCGTCGGCGTCCATCTCTCCAACAGCAAGAAAATCTTTGATTAAATCACGAAACTAGCCTTGGCTAGGTCGAAGGGGTGCCTTGGATTTTTATCCTTGCCTTCCCCTTCGTCAAATGTGACTCCCGAACCTTTTTCGCTGGTTTACGTGGACTAGGAGTCGTTTAAAAGGGGTTTCTTACTACTTTTTCCTATTTTTTCTTTAAAAATTCATTTTTGGTGACTTGGTACACCTTAACTCATTACCAAGTGGCGACTCCAAATTTTTATTTCAAAAACCCTTTTTTTTTGGGTCAAATCGTCGCATTCTCAACCCCCCATTTAGACCCATTTTTTCTTTTAAATCACAATTCATTTTCCAATCACAAAAATACATTTTTAAACCATTTATTTATTTATTCAAAAAATGGGGCGCGACAGTCGTTGTGATACCGATGCTGTCTCTGGTACCACTGTACTAGAGTAGGATCGATACCTAGTTGGATCCATGCATGCATGGACAAGCGACATCATCGGCCCAATATTGGTAGTTGGTGGAATGAATGTGCTACTGACGAGAGGATTTTGGACTATTTCCTCCTTCTCGATATAAAGTTCAGCGATGTATGGACAAGTTCGTTCCAGACATCATACATTATCTCCAGAGTTTCATCATCCACCACTGGAGAGACATTATAAGAAGTACGGCCACAAGGTTGGCGGAGAAATAAATTCAACTTGAACAGCCCCCTATCGACCCCCATGTATTCATAAATTCTATCCACCAGCTCATCATATCCAATTCTATGCCGTAATGAGAATGTACGGTTGGAAGTACGAGGCAAATAACAAATTGACCCATCTTCATAGTGTATTTTACCTCCCCAATAAAGAGATACTCGCAGAGGTCTTTCTATAGACATATCAAAGAAAACAATCCCTATGTTGGAAAAAATAAATTATAATTAGTAGTACAAAACTATGTAAAGTGTATTAATGTAGAAGGTCACCAATTTTTGTAAAGTTTATTAATCTAGTAATTCAATCATTTAAGTACCTATAAACTAATTAAGAATTCGTAGTTACTCAACTACTTATAATAAAAGCAACATATTATATACCACATAAAAAAGAAAGGTTAACAATTATTATTTGTAGTGAAATACAAAATAAGAATGAACAACAATAGTAGTTTATTTTTTTTCCTATTGATACTACTAATAATTGATTAATCAATTTCTCTATTTTGTTATTATATATTTGAAAAGTTAAATTTCTTAAATGACATGGAATTCAACATTTGGGAAAAAATCTTTTACTCACATACATTTTTTTGTATAAAATAAAGCAATACGAAATTAAGAAATAAACAAATTTTGACTAATCTAGTCTACTTATTTAAACAATTGTTTAAAGAAAAAAAGGAAGAATTTAAAAAGAAAATTAACAAATATGATACATTAAAAGGGGTATATTTTTCCAAACATATCATTCAAGAGGGCAAAATGCCTATTATTATAGTTTAGGGGATAAATTGTAACTGGGTAAATAGTTTATAGGGATTTTTTTGCATTTAACCCTTTATCAAACGAAAAAATTGTAATTTATTATTCCTAATAGATATATATATTTTGAAAAAATTACTTTTTATTATATATATTTTGCAATATATATATATTACACATTGTCATTACTTTTTTTAAAACAAAAATTTGATAGAATCTCCCCTTAAAAGTCTAATTACTTTATTTAATGCTCACAAGAGCTTAGCGAAGGCTTTTATTGTGAAAAATTGGAAGTTTTATGGATGAAATGGAAAATTAAGGTTTCGGTGAGAAGGGGGAAGAGTAAATCTGGAAACGGAGGAACCGAGCCCTCGGTTTCAGACATATTGCCAAAGGATCCGAGCACGGATCGGTTCTTGAAGCCCTCGGATCCCACAAGCCTCGGATCCGTCTCACCAGGAACACAGACGATCCCTCGGATCCGGCCGGGTTTACTTGGATCCGAGCTCGTATCTTATGGATCCGGGGTCGGATTTGTCTGGATTGACTTCGATCTGACCTCGGATCTTACTTCCTCTGCACTAACTGCAGAAAGTGCCATTTGCCAAACTTTTTCTCCCTTTTCCAAACTAATTGTCAGACTAACCATGGCAAGCTAATGCGACTCAAACCGAAAGAACAACAACGATTCATAAATTGCCAAAACATAACAGCCAGCTCAATTCAGCAAAACAAAAATCATGTTGTAACAACAAACAAACTGACAAACAAAAAAAAGAGATAAATTCATACCTCTTATGGCAAATTGGGAGGGAGGGGGGAGATGCACGGATTCCAGACAGCTTGGCAGGAATGGGACAGGTTGGTTTCAGCGGTTTTTTGAATTGGGTTTCAGACTGAGCTTTGTTGCCTTTTTTCTTTGTTGGTTTTTTTCTTTTCCGCAGAACAATAATGCGAGGTACATGACCTCGCATTTCTGAAATGCGAGGTACATACAACTCGCATTTGTGAAATGCGAGGTCATGTACCTCGCATTTCTGAAATGCGAGGTTACCTATTTTTTTTTTATTTTTTTTTTTACTTTCGCTGTTACAAAATTTAAGGACAGTTCGCATTTATCAAATGCGAGCTCAAGGAGCTCGCATTTGATAAATGCGAACACCCCAAAAACAGAAACCAGTACACAAAATACCCCCTTTGTAGAATTTTTTTAAAAATCATAATAATTTTAGAAATTTCTCGTATTTAACTTGAGGTGGTCAAACACTTCATACATATCAACTTTACCAATGGTTTAGTACCCCAGCATAAGCTGGATATCAGTAGTGCTTGACTATGAAAACTATATCCATGAATCTGAGTTCATAATGCATGCCAGATGCACATCAATTTTTACATTTTTAACATCTGTTCATACAAATGCTCCAACCAAAAAAATCAATGTGACCCTTTTTTTTTTTTCTTGAACCAACCAGCATCTATAATATTGCAAACACAAGGGACCACCATCTTATTGAAAAGAGACAAAAATTTCAGCTTTAGCACTTTATTTAACTATTCATTTAGAGTTTAGAATAAATACCATAATTTAGGAAAGGTCGATCGTTCAGTTTCTTCTTTCGCAAGGACGTTTTTCTTCAATGAGATTCTCCACGGATCCACTTTTGCCAATCTTCTAGCCCGCCGATTGTCTGGTTGATAACAGTGAGAATAGCTGAAAAATTCTTAGTTCCGACAGAAACGTGGGCCGCTGTACTTAAACGCTCGGGAGAGCCCGGCACCACAAGGTTGCTAAAGAAAGAGAAAAGAATGAAAAAGTGTCTGGATAGCAAATTATTCTAAATAATATTTTACTTGCATTATAAACACATTTTTAAATCAACTTTTTTATTCCTAACTATATTTTTATTTACATACATCATATTACAAAAAGTGCTATATTAATTATTTCAAATAATACTCTATCCAAACTTTCTCCTTTTTTTTTGTTACAACAAGTTATACTAACGAAGCGTGCTTTTCACGTGACCACTTTCCATATAATTTCATGAGTTTTTTATCAATTGTCCTAAATCGATAAATCGACAATGTTCGAGAATAAATGTGTTTTTGGTGAAAGTGAAATTTGAGGATGAAATTGATCTATCACCCGATTATTAGGACGAAAAGTGCATTTTTTCCTAGAGCTGGCATCCCACCCTACCCCGCACGTAGGGTTTGCATTTAAAAACATTTATGAACTTCAACTCCATTTTTTGTTTTGCTTATATAATGTGCAGGTCGATGAAATAGATTAATGGGACTATACTTTACGGGCTGATGATGCATGCAGGATTTCCTCTACTTAATCATCAAGTAGACCAGAAATATTCCCATCACCAACCGCCTAAAGCGCCACTATTTCAAAGCCTTCACAGCACGCCTTCAGCCTCAATTGTAACATTTTCCAAACCCCAAAAAAAAAAATCACCCCGTCAAAAGCGCCACTTTAGAACACGCCTTAACAATAACACCAAAAAAAAAACCCTTTGAATCAAAACCTCACACACTCCGCCATTCCTCTGCAATACCCAAACCCCACTGTCCTCTCCTTCTCCCAGCTGATTCTGACTCACTGAGTTTAACCGAGTTCACCGGGTTTGCAGCCGTTCCAAACCTCCAATTTCACGAGGAAAGAAAAGATGCGAGCTATCCATCGATTCGTGTCGCGTTTCTCCATTAACCGTTGTTCCAAAAATCAACCCACATTCAAAACCCGTATTCCTTTCTCTCTTTCCGAAAAACCCTTCTCTTCAAACCCTCCTTCGAATAACGATAAAAGTACGACTTCCGGTTTGGGCAGCAGCTTCGGCGTTCCTTCCGGCGATGGCGGCGGCGGCGGCGGCAGCAGCGACAACTTGGGGTGGGATAACCCAAGTTCTTCCTCATGGTCTACTGGCCTGACCAAAGAACACTTTGACGGCGAAGTAGTCGGACAGCAGGTGAGCCCTGGATTGGGCCCGAACCCGGCTCGGCCAGAAGGTGGAATGGGAGTCGGAGGCAGTGGTATGGGGCAGGCGCGGTGGACGGATGAGGAGATGATGCGCATTAGGAGGTTACAGGCCGAGAATAGGAAAAGTAGAGCGTTTGTGGAAGGATGGAAGAACAGGATGGTGGAGATGAGTGTCCTGATGAAGCAAGTGAGAGAGCCTGGGGCTCGAGGATCATATTTGAAGGACTCGGAGAAGGCTGAGATGTATCGGAAACATAAGGAGAATCCCGAGTATATACGGTGGAGAGGCTTGCCAAGGACTACAGGGTTATGAGGCAAAGGGTCCATGCGATTTTATGGCTGAAAGAACAGGAGGAAGAGGAAGAGAAGAAGTTAGGCCACAAGTTGGACGATTCGGTTGAGCTTTTGTTGGATGCATGCCCCGAGTAAGTTAATTACTTTTCATCAGAAATTTCGTAGGAAAAGTAGTCTTTTTATTGATTAATGATGCTGTTAATTGGTTTCGAGAATGTTGAGTTCTACTATGAAATGCTTTGTTGTAACAGTTAGTTTTTTGAGGGGCTTCTACCCAGGACAAGCAATTAGAGGCCTTGTTAATGGCAATTGGAAGAGACTCTCCTGCTGCTAATGCAACTAGGAATTGACACCTTATTATCCTAATTTCTAGTGCCACTTAATTAGGCTATGCATCCGTTCTGTATTCTTTCTTTCTAACAATGTTGGAGATTCTGTTGTCATATATTGCTTAGTGTTATGTCATTTATGTGAATTTGGAAGTAGTTTTCTACCATATACAAGGTGTTTTTAGGAAGAGGAGAAGCTATCACCCTATAGTGTTTACTTTATTAGGTTTGAAGTTCTGTGTTTAGATGGTTGATGTTTTGTTTGTCATAATAGTTATCTTACTATTGGGTAATAGTTGAGGCTCAGATGTTTGGTTGGAGTTTTGATCTCTATGTTACTGAGGTTGAAGTTTTTTTGGTCATTTCTTGCTTAATATGCTTTGAATTGGGAAGCAGATTCCAGTGCTGGATATAATGTATTTAGGATGAGAAGATATTAAATTATAATATTTTGATACGTGCCTTTGTATAGGTGAAATTAGGTAGCAGAATTGAAGCTTCTTTCTCCTGAATAATGAGCAGTTGGTTTTTGATGGTTCGAGTTGATTAACATTCTTTTAAGAAAATAATGAATGTGCGTGTTAGCAGTTTGCTGCTTGATACTTCTACTTATCAATGTTAGTGAACATTAATTTGCAAGTGGGCCTTCAAAATTTGGAGTGCCATGTTGGATTTAAATCATAGGGAACATTCTAAAATAGGAGATAATTCCCATGCGGTTAAACTTTTTTTTGTGCCATATTATTTGGAGGAAGGATTGGTCTGGTGTGTTCTTACAGAGTCAGAGTTGTCTGGAATGTGCT